GTAACCCTTAGGAAAAAAAAAAGAATACACTTTTTTTTTGCTCTGTTATCTGTCTGAAATTCTATAAAAATCCCATTTTTTACTTATATAAGCCCTCCGGAGTCATCATGAATTGGAAGGCCAAATCTTCTTAATAAATAAATAATAAATAAGATTCTTTTATCTGATCTTAATTCAAAGACAGCTGGGTTGTTTCTTGGTATCACAGGACTATGTTCATAGCTGATCCTAGAGAAAGACTCATTTAGTAGACAGAAAGCAGTTATGGTTCAGGAGAGCCCAAAGAGTTTTTACTTATCTTTTAACTTTAGCAGTTCACAAGCTTCAAGTATGAGGAATTCAGAAGCAAAAATATGAAAACAATCTGGAGTAGTCCAAAGGTCTCGGGCTAAAGAGAGTTGCATAGATTAGTTCAGGAAGCAATCAGAAGATCCACATGCAGGACAAGATGCTAGAAGGAGCAGAAGACCATAGAAACATGGGTGTGGAGCAGGAGAATCATTTTGGTCAAAAGGAGAAGGTATGAAAATTGGTCTTATATAGGCATGACTTAATTAAAGGAATTGCTGCCTTCCTTGAGGATTCATGCTCACCACTTCTGGCCTCCTTAACTCCTAGTGTACTCTTGCGTTTGACATCCAATTGGAATCTTCCTCCTCATTATCTGAGTCATCATATAGTTCATTATATCTGGGATGTCCTTCATCACCTTTTGGCTTTCCAGGTTGACAGTCCATGAATTCTGCTTCTTCAGCATCTGAATCTGGTTAGAAGATGCTATAATACCCACGTACCCTCTGAAGCACCTTTGAAGCTACAGTGCTGTAGGGCTTATTCTGTGCTTTTCATCTATATTTCAGAGAACTGAGATTGTGAGGCAAGTGCGAGTGACATGTAGGCAAGAATTTGAAGCAGTAGTAATATTTTTGTCCATAGAAGATTGCTTTTTTCTAAAGTTTTATCCTGATAGGTATATTCTGTCTTACTACCATAGTTTTGCAATGAAGAAATATCAGGTGCACAAACAGAAATCAGTAAATATCTAGAGATCAAAAGTCAGGAAGGGACCAAATGCAAACAGAAGCCAAATGAAAATCAGGATAATAAATGAAGAAAACAATTTGAGATTCTGAGTGCAGGGATAGTCAGAATGTCAAAAACAAGAACATTGAGTCCCTGAAATGCAACTATGTCTTTGAGAGCTATGTACACTGATTCATTAAAAACCTTTCAAATTCCACATCTTTTTTCCTTTTGATTTTGAGTAAATATCACATTTCAGTATCTAGACTTTTGAGATGCTGATGACTAATTTTGGAAAAGAAAGAGAGAAGCTTCAAATGCCATTTGCATATAGAAATCATCATTAAAAGAATGACATCAAAACTTTCCACTGGTCAAGCATGTACCTTCCCCTTTTCACATTTAGCCATCAGTTATTATTTTGGTAACTTTTGCACTTGCATTGGTTTTTTTCACCGAACACGCTTCCCTTTAATATTGGAAGGAAACAAGCTATGGAAGGAAACTCTATGGCTGACCTGTCATTAGAGTTATCATTACAGCTAGATGGTGTGGCCTGAATATTTAATGCCTTATTATTCTATTTCATGTTGCTTATGAATCATTCTAAAACATTTGGAAAAACAAAAAAGAGCATGCATGGGTCAGACAGATCATTTTTAATTTAATTGCTCTTGTTACAGCTGACTAGTCTCGGAGGAAGGAATGTTCTTTATCATTCTACTGTTGAGAAAGAAAATGTGTATAATTGAGTTCTGCCACTACCTTGTTTGGGGCGGCTCTAGTAATTAATTTGTCTTTGGAAGCATTAATTGCCTTAAGGCAACAGTCATACATTTAGATTCTTTACAATCCTTGGCATCCTGTTCATGCCAAATAACATTAATATATTTCTACTCCTACTATGTCAAGATATTGTTGGGATGAGTTATGGCTGATGAGAATCCATCATTCTACCTTCTAACTGGAGGAGAAGGAAAAAAATAGAAAAAGCATCAGTGGCAGCCACAAGGTTTTCCCAAAATATAAATAAAATTACATTCTTATTTGAACTTGCAAGCACTATTTCAATGTATAATACCTATCTTACTCTTTCAATCTATACACCTATATCAGTTGATATTGTGCATGGAAATATAACTATTGTCTTGAGCCTCCAAATGAAGATTGAAGACAGGTAACTTTTGAATTTACTTTAATTAGGTGAATATTGGTTTTCATACAGTATTTGGCTGGCATGCTGCCATCATGTGAACATTTTCCAAAATACAAGTCCCAATCTTAGTATGATACTTGATATTGGCACCACCTTAACTTTTTTGAGTCCCCTTTTTTGGATACCCCTGGTCTCTTCTCTTTTTATTCTTTCCCAAATAATGTCTAAGGAGGGGTTTACTTCCCTCTCCCTTTTATATAGTGTGGAAGAGATCATCAGAGCTGGTTTTGAAGCTCATCCAAGAACATGTCCTTCTCTTCTCCTGCTCTTCATCTTATTCGGAATCGTCTGTCAGTCAGAATTCTTCTTCACTGTTGCTTTAATTTGTTCTTTCTGGGCTCTTTTGAATGTCACAGCCTCTTCCTTGGTCACAGTCCGCACTCCTTCCCTCACCTACCATCTTTTCTCTCATTTCTTCAGTGTTTTGGAAGGCCTGGAAAAGAGATTGAAAAGTTCCAGGAAGGAATAGAAGCTGTGACTGAGAAAGAGGGTGTGACATTCAAAAGAACCCAGAATGAGCAAATTGAAGCAACGGTGAAGAAGAATTCTGTTAGACAGTTCTGAATATTTTTAGGGGTTTTTTTTTTTTTTTTGGCTGTTTCAATTTTTTTTTCATGTCACCTTTGACTATATTCTCCACAGAGTTACAACAGGACAGTAGTTAATGGTAGCAAATAACCATAGTAGCAAAATGTTAGTAACGATGACAATCCTGAAATAGAATTATTATTATTTCTTCTGTTCAGTTACGTCCTATTCTAGGAGATTGCCAGGACAAGTCCCTCTGGTTTTCTTGGCACGGTTTTTCAGAAACAGTTACCTTCAAAAGCTAATTAGCCCCATCTTTCACCCTAGTGATAATTAGGTACATGCACAACTACGCATCTGTCTATGCAAGAAAGCCACAGGTCTGCTTTTAGATATTTCAAAGTAGCTGGTCTTTCTCTTCTCTTACTTTCAGCTTTTGCATTAACTTGCACTGACTTTCTAAGATAAGACATGTTAGAAGAGGGGAAAAATAAATGTTTTTGTAATTATCCATTCATGATTTTAGTAAAGATAAGAAAGCATCTTGGGATGGGTAGGTAAACTTTTAGACAAATGAATTATTATTTATTTATTTTATTTATTTATTTTATTCAATTTGTATACCGCCCTTCTCCTAGTGGACTCAGGGCGGTGCACAGCCAGAACTAAAACACATACCAATACAAAATTTAAAATTATTAAAAGAATTACATACTTTGGCCCTAATTTAAAACAATTCTAATTAAAACCCATTGACAAATTAAAAGCTAAAAAACTAAAAAACTAAAAAAAAAAAAAAGGGGGGGGGTTCACACCAGCCCTGCTTGGTGGAAAATTATAGTTTTCAGGGCACGGCGAAAGACCCGGAGATCCGATATCCTTTGTATCTCCGGGGGCAAATCGTTCCAGAGGGCAGGAGCTGCCACAGAGAAGGTCCTTCTCTAGGCATTAAGCTATTGAGCTTAATGCTGATTTATTTAAACATTTGTGTTAAAAATGCCCAACTAACATCAAAGAATATATGAGACAGAGAAACAACACATAGGTTTTGAATGATATGAGTTATATCACTTTGGCTTCTGATGCTTTGCTTGGCTGCAATTTTGGCAGCATCTTAAATTATAATTTTCTAAGTCAGGGATAAGTGCAATGACTGGTTTTTGTCTTGTTTTAAACCATGCTTTAGTTATCCATTAGAAGTAGTTCTATGTTGCTTCCCATAATGAAGCAATTTATAAACTCTAAACATGAAAATAAAGAACGTAAAAAAATCAAGTTCAACTGCAAATAAAAACTAGAATAAAACTCAACCAAAATCTTAATGGTTGTGGAAATGCACATGGGCATCCATAGAAGACTATGCAAAAGAGGCAGATGACCAGCTTGCTTCATGACATCAATGTGAAAATGATGTAAAGGAAGTATTTAATTTATATAATTTATATGGCAATGCAATGATACATGCAATGTAAGTTTTATGAAATTGTGCCTTCTACTGAATATGCATGACAGAACAAATATAAACAGAAAATTTTAAAGATACCCTAAAATGCATCAGCCCTTGATATAGATAGTAGGCAGTGAAATTCATTCCATGGGCCAGTTATCTCGATGAACAAGGCTGGCTTCCACGTTTCACCAACAAGCCACCTAGTAGTTGTGTCACAGATAACAAGGCTACTGAAAATAGTGGGTGTTTTAGATTATTGAACCCCTGATTTAAGATAGCTTGATCTTGAACTATCTGAAACTTTGAGTAGGAGGCCAACATTCGGAAGGTGTTTCCATAATTGACTTTTGAACCACATATTTCCATTGCATCTGAAAACAAAACTGAGGTAGAGGAAATATTGACTTGGGGACAATCCCAGACTGAAATGATGGCATCTTAAGGAAAACATCCTGCCTGAAACCTCATCGCAAATGTTGAGCTAAATGAAACAATGATCCAATTCAACACAAGACCGTTCATTAGACTGATTATTGTCCTTGACTTTATTTACTTATTCATTACATCTCTAGACCACACAACAACCACAATTTCCTGGGTTGTGCAAATCCATTCAAATATGTCATTAAAAAGAAAATTGTTAAATTCAATATTGTAACATTATGGGAACAACAATAACAGTGAGATGATTGTAATAAAACAGTAAAAGTAAACTTAAAGATTTCCTTTGCCCAGTTGATTCCAATTTAGGGAGCGGTGTTCATCTTTGTTTCTTAGAAGAGGAAGCCAGCATTGTCTGAAGACATTTCTGTGGTCATGGGGCCAGCGTGTCTATATGCTGAGATGCACAGAATGCCGTTACCTTCCCACCAAAATGGTACCTATTTATATACTTGTATTTGCATACTTTCAAATTGTGAGGTGGGCAGGAGCTGGAGCAAGTAACAGGAACTCAATCATTGCATAGCACTCCCATCTCAAACCTTTCTATCTGATAAGCTCAGTGTCTTTAACCACTGAGCCATCATGCCCCCTGATTACAACAATACTAACAGCAACAAATTAGTAGCAAAACCATAAAAATTTACTCCATCTTGGAAAGGAAAGAAATAACAATTTTCAGTTGGTGCCAGAAATATCCAAATGTGTGGCTAGACAAACTCCTCTGGGGAACCCATTCTTGATCAAAATACTTCATCTTCTGATTGCTCATCTAGTCTCATTTGGTGGAGATATCTGAAGAAGATGCTCTGATGCAGGTAATAGAATCCAGGTAAGTGAAAGTTGCAGGATATCCTCATAGGGATAATCTAGTTCAAAGCTATTTTCAAGTTTTGAAGCTAAAATTACCAAGCTGACTCTGCCAATGTAGACTGGAAAACACTGGCATAATTTAACTGGGTGTATCTGGAAATCCAAGTTATGTAGAAACTCAGAATTAGCAGGGATTAATGAAGCCATCCTAGAGTGCTATTCTAAGCCATTCTAGAAGAGATTAGAAGCTATTAGAAGCTTTCAGGGAGAATTTGCTAGATATTGTGAAAGCAGATAAGGTGAACCAACAAAAAGCTGAAAACATGGGGAATAAGATGCTTAAACTGTACAGGAATTGCTGTTTTTATGTGAGCCCTAAGAAAGACAACAGTTTATGATAGCCATGCTGGATTGAGGGTGTTCTTTCTCCAAAATAAAAATTACTGTTCGGTTATTACTGTATGTAACAGAGTACAGGATACAAGAAGATCACATTTGATGGCTGGAGCTATTTTAATAATAACTTGGCTTGCAAGTTATAAAGCTTGCTTGCATGTTTTGTCTTCTGTTCACTAAGTACACCCTATGACCACAATATTCCATAAGAAACTTTAGCTTTCTTCTGTTGGTATGTTCTTATTTTGGGATTAGTAAAAACTTTCAGAATAGCCAGCAATCTAACTTTCCAATTTGAATACATTTTTCTGAATTGTTAAGCAAACTACAAGGAGGAGGAGGAAAGAAGCAAGTCATTTTTTCATGATTTAAAAAATTGAAAGGACCTGTGCTTATTTGTCTTATCCTATTTTCTGTACTGCAGCCATATTTTCTGTAGGTGATCCTTTCTAGTACATATAAGAACAATATTAAATAGAGTAACCTCTCTTGGACCCAAGCTAAATCGATATGTCAGTAGCATGAGAGTTTGCTATGATGTAAACTTAGATTAATATTATAAGCAACAGATCTCTCCAAAATCTTCAGAATACTAGCACCTACTAATCAGTGTTAACTTTTTTTTTTTTTGCTGCAGAATTGTTCTGTCTCCCAGCAATTGCTATTCAGTTTCTGTTACTGGAATATTATGGCACGTTTCTTCAAAAGATTCAGCTGGCAATATTTGCATTTAATCATTGTGATCATGGCTACTATAAGTTAGCAAGAGTTTACCGTCAAATTTTATTTGTGTTTCCACAAGCTGCTGCATCTGCTGTTATTTTCATTTGAAGAAAAAGGAATAAATATAATACTGAACTTATTAATATGAAGATGACATAGCAATGATGATGTATCTTGGTAGTATGGTAGTGTGCTGGCGAGTAGACCAAGTAGTGTTCCTTTTTTTCTCCCTAGTGGAAACTCTTCCTTGAGATCAAACTATGGCTTCCCGTTCCTATTGTTTGTAGAAATAGAAAAAAGCACAAGAAAAATGATGTCTTGGCACTGTTCATTTTAATAAACAGACCCATGTATTATTGACCTAATAAAATATTCTTTTGAAAAAAAGTTGTGCATGCTTTTTAGAATACTTGAAATTTAAGTTTCCATTGTATCAGCAAAATTATTATGTTTTTGAAAAGCAAATTGCATACAGCAGAGTAGTTAAAGAACTAGAATATCTTAAATCTTCAAAAGAAAAAGAACAATAGTTTTATTAAATGTGATTACTCCGAATGTGGTTCAGTGGATTATTTTCTATATTGTGCTTAAGACTGCATGCTTACACAAAAGAAGAAAAATAGCTGAGTTTAGAAACAATTTAAAATGAAATATGACATGAATATGAATTCCAGTTTGTAAATTCAGCTTTGTAGCTGAAATGTTTTGGGTCTTCTGTGAAATTAGCTTTTTTACCTATAAATATTTTTACCTTCCCTAATAAAAGATAGTTGTAATCTACGATTTAGAAAGCACTGATGGAATGTTAATTTTAAGACAAGAAATGGGGTAAAGGAAAAGTTGGGGAGATTGTAGGCGATATAAATTTTGAAGTCAACCTGGGATAAGAATTGAATTTTCCAAAATCACTCCGAGAATAGAAAGTTCTCAATACTTTGAAGTTATAGAACCAAAAGAAAGCCTTATAACCTCAATGCTGTTTGTAAAGCAAATCAAGGTGTTTACCATAACTAAAATCAATTTACTGCCTTTTGGATTCTTTAAATGTAGTTGAAGAGCTTATTGGAGGAAAAGTTGAACAGATCAAAAAAGGAAGTTTTGAAGAGATGAATTTTAACCCAGCAAATATGAGGTACATCTATTTATATAAAAGCTCATTTATCATGCTCTAGCTTTGATGGAGAAAGACTAAATCCAATACATGAAGGTTATTTCTAGCTGCAGTTGCCACTGACCTTGTAAATTCTGGTTATTTTTTTCCCTTTCCTCTGCTATAAATAAGAGTTGAGAAAATTATTTCCCACTATTCTTATGGTAGCGCCAACAGGAAGGAAGAAACTCACATGTCAGAAATTGAGGCATAAGCAGTGGTGAAATTTAATTTTTTTTACTACCAGTTCTGTGGGCGTGGGCTTGGTGGGCGTGGTGTAACTTGGTGGGCATGGCTTGGTGGGCATGGCAGAGGAAGGATACTGCAAAATCTCCATTCCCATCCCACTCCAGAGGAAGGATACTGCAAAATCCCCATTCCCACCCCACTCTGGGGCCAGCCAGAGGTGGCATTTGCCAGTTCTCTGAACTACTCAAAATTTCTGCTACCAGTTCTCCAGAACCTGTCAGAACCTGCTGGATTTCACTCCTGGGCATAAGGGATATCTTTGGCATTCTGACATTATCCAGTCTTCTAACTTGAGAATCAGAGAATTACAAGGATTAGGACTAGTATTCCAAATGTTTGAAGAGTTCTGTACCTAATTTAGGGACAGGCAACCTGATATTCTCCAGCATTAGGACTCCATCAGTCCTAAACACATAATCCAAGGAAGTATGAGAACTGAAACATCTGGAAGTCACCAAGTTACCTATCCTCCTTTCTGATGAAACCACTTCCTGCCAGAGAACTTCTGAGACATGAAAACACACACTTGACTGCCAAGTCATAGTGAGGAGCTAACCCATAAGGTCTCCTTTAAATTGACCATGCCAGGACCTCAGTAGAAATAAATCCATTTCAGAAGCTTTCCCACATGGAACTTTTCATAATACTTTTTGTTTAGCCTTAAAGGGATTACAGGGCTGTAAAAAAGGGATGTATTTTTTAGTATGGTCTTGGCATGATTTTGTCAATCAGCTTGAATTCATTTAATTTGCTAGAGAACACTTCTTGAGGCTTCCATTAATCCAGTGGTTCTCAGCCTTCCTAATGCCACGACCCTTTAATAAAGTTCCTCATGTTGTGGTGACCCCCAACCAGGAGTGGGTTCTAAAAATTTTTACTACCGGTTCTGTGGGCGTGGCTTATTTTGTGGGCATGGCTTGGAGGCAGCAATAGATTGGGAATGGGCGGGGTAAGCGAACGGCCGGCGATCCAACAGAACAGAGAGTGAGGGTGAGTGAAGGCATGGGGGGGGGGCAAGAGAGGGCTTTGGTGACCCCTGTGAAATGGCCCTTTGACCCCCAAAGGGGTCGCGACCCCCAGGTTGAGAACCGCTGCATTAATCCATGGAACAGACTATTGATTCCTTTATCCTGCTTTAGTGAGACTGTTGCATCCAAACTACTGGATTCTGCACATTCGGTTCAGAGATCCTATAAGAACCCTAATTCAATACATCTGAAAAGCACCTGACTGGAAAGTTACTTTATATGAAAGCCCCAGGAAGTGTCATTTGTTCACTCACAGCGGTTTTCCCTTGTCATAATCAAAATTAATGAAGACCTGAAGAAGGTTCCATATGTTCTGAGATTATGAAGGAGTTTAACGAGAACAAATAAACTGATGCTGAAACTTGGCAAGATAGAGATACTGTTGATTGCAGAATCTATATCCCTACTTCAGTAATCACTTCCAGATTCTCTTTCAGTAGAGTAGGGTAGGATTTTACTGAAAATCATGTTTTTGAGTTTGCTAGGAATCTCCTCAGATATGCTTTAAATTTCCTGGTGATAACTAGCTCACAACATGCCTTCCACCATCTGCATGTGTATAGGCAGGCTACAGAGACAGAATTTAGCTTTTAAAGCATATCTTTATAGTAACCATATGCAGTCATTTGGACCTGGGGTTGAGCTCAGAAGATAATTCACATTTAAGTTATTTCAAAAATACGTTTAGCTTATTGTGTGGAACAAGCTGAATGGAACATATGGGCTCATTTCATTGTATTTACCCGTACGATTTCTTGAGAGCTTCAGGGTTCTTTTCAGGAATTATCTACTACTTGATCAGATGGCTTTAACACTTAAATCATTTTAAATGACACTGAAACTGCCATGACTGCTAAATTTGCATATGTGTAATAATGTATTTTAGATATGCAAATCTGATGTGAAAGCATTATCTTAGATTTAGCTCAATGTAGGTAGTCCTCATTTAATGAACAGTTACTGACCATTCAAACTTATGATGGTGTTGAATGAGTGATATTAATGATTGGTCCTCGTAGTTGTGGGCATTGCAGCACGCTGAAGTCATGTGATTACAATTTAGGTATTTGGCATTTATGATATCGCAGTGTTCCCATGGATCTGTGGTTGTCATTTGTGACCTTTTGGCAAGCAAAGTCAATGGGGAAGCCAGCAGCAGGAAGTCGGAAATGGTATCACTCAAAAATAGTGCAGGATTTCCTTAATGATGGCAATCAGAAGGGCCAGGACAGTCACATGAACATTGGGCTTTATGAACACATCGGTCATAAAGCACAATGTTCATGTGACTGTTCTGGCCCTTCTGATTGCCATCTGTGCTTCATGATAGTAATTCAGACTGGAGCACAGATTACCTGTATCAGAGTCAATATGGCCAGCAGGAGGAGGAGATGGACACATTTGGACAAAAAGGGAGTGGAACTTGATGGTTAGGATATGACAAATGAATATATGAAAATGGTACTGAAATCCAAACATGGGATCTTTATCCTGATTGCAAAGCAGCATTGTATCTATGTAATCTGCACTTCTCTTTTTATAATCTTGATTTATTTCCACTCCAGTTTTTAGGGGCTTGTAAACAAAGAGGTGGGAACCTGAGTACTGAGTAACAGAAAGTATAGTAAATGCTGCACTTTTTCCTCATATAGAAAATCTGCTGAAGTTTATTCCCCCACCCATACTCTTGAGAATTTTGGGATGGGATAATCCATAAAAACAGGCTTACTTAGCAGTCCAAACCAAAAATTTAGATACTCAAGATAAAATATCAAACTAAGAACGTCAATGGGTCTGATGGTAGCAGTTTGAAACTTGTTCTTCTTGCACCAATGGTTTCAATAAGTCTCCCAGCACTTGGCTGTGACCATATAAGCAAAAACCTTACTTGAGTAGTCTCTGGCCCCTTCCTTCCCTTTGAGTAAGGTTCTCCAACATGAAGAATTAGCTCTCTTTTAGGGCAATGACCTAAATTCCAGCCAGCAGACTAGAGAGATGGGGAACTCTATTTATACTGGTCTGATAAGGATAATTCTAGCAGGCATTTCTGTTAGATATTGAATGGACTGATGTAAGCACCAATAAGTGGCCCGAACTCAGAGAGAGAAAATTAAGCACGTGTCAGTGGCTGAAGCCACGGACAGGTCCCTAAAAGGAGCTGCCGCAGCTTGGTTTGCCATTGCTTTTTGCTGGAGCTAAATAAAGAAGAAAGAACCGCTTTTGAGGGTCCTGCTTCTTCTCTCCGCCCACTATTTTGCAATTTCCTCTACAGATTCTCTTTGTCATCTTCTGCCTCTCCCTCAAACCTCTTCTCCACCCCCTCCACCCCAACCTCCATTTCTTCGGAGTAGCCTTCCTGTTTAGCAAGTACTGAGTCTGCAGGCATTTATAACGTTGATCACAAGGAGTCTGATGCTGTTCCTTCACTGCAAGATGAAATTACAGAATTTCCAGCTTTTCTAATTTTTTTTCCCAATTAGCCAACTGGAGGAAATGCTGATTGGTTATGAATGTTCTCAGCATTTTGAAGGTTGATAGCAGCAACTCATGGTCAACTTCAGATGATTTTTTGAGGAACTGGAGAAATGAAACAGTAGTGGTTGTGTGGAAGCAGCTCCTTTCTTCATTATGAAATCTTTGAATGTTGGTTTTTTTCTTGTATGTAAGGGGAAACAATACAACTGAACATCTGAAATTATTTAAAAATTGGAACGAAGGATATGAGAGTTCCATGATGTCATTTTAAATGGTTCTGTTATAGTGACTTAAGACTACCGTGTTTCCCCTGAAAATAAGACCCTGTTTTATATTTTTTTTTTTGAACCCTGAAATAAACGCTTGGCCTTA